GTGTGGCGCGACGAACGGTTTAAGACGTGAGGGGTGGACGTACCAACAAAGTTTTCCCCATTTGATCCGAACACACTGCGGGCGGACAACCTGGACGATTTTGACAAGACCCCACCATGGCCGGAGCAGTTTGGGCGATGTCGTCAATGGCATCTGGAGGCAATGGAACCAGGCTTTGTTGCCCGGGCCCCACACATGTGTGTGTGACCGGAGCGAGCGTAGTCGATCGTTCGCCTGCCGGCGAGAGTTGGAATTTTGGATGGCGGCCTCCCGTGCCTCAGCCAATTTCAAAACGTTAAATTTGACGTGGTCAGCCAATTTTGACATAGCGTGTGGCGCGGAGACACGCAGCTGGGCCTCCATTGGGGGGTCAACGTCCCACCCATCCATCAATAAGAAGGGAGAGGACCCAGTCGCTGCGTGGGGAGCCATCCTATAGGCGGCCAGGACTCCCGGAATTTGAAGATCCCAATCGGTTTGGGAGTCACACCTGGTGGCATAACATGGACGTGAGTATCCTATGAAAACGATCCACCATCACGTCAGTTTGTGGGTGGTATGGAGAGGTACGAACCTTTTTAGTACCAAGGAGGCCACACACCTCACGCAGCAGGGAGCAAGAGAAATTATTTCCCTGGTCGGTCAGCAGCCGCTCAGGAGCACCCTTATCCAGGACATAGCCCTGGACGAAGGCCTCGGTAACGGCTGCTGCCGACTGGTTGGCGAGCGGCCAGGCCATAGGCCATCGAGTGAAATATTCAACGCCAACCAGTAGATACTTGTTACCCCTAGGTGTCGCAGGAAACGGCCCCAAAATGTCGAGCGCGATGAGCTCGTTGACACGGGTAACTTTAATTGATTGAAGAGGCGGGCTGGACTCCTTTGCCGGTGGCTTCCGCTGGGCGCACTGAGTACAGCCCATGAGGAGGTCAGCCACTTCTCTTGCCATGCCCAGCCAGAAGAAATCGAGCTGGAGCATGGACAGGGTCTTGTAGGCTCCTAGGTGCAGGAGGCGCTCGTGTGCGGCCAGAACAGCCTTACCTCGCAGAGCAGAGGGCACCACGATTCTGTGGCGGAGGGACCTACCATGCCATTGCATGAGGAGGCCACCACACAAAACCAGGGAGTCAATCCCTACCACTCCATCAACAGAACCTCCAGCACCGCGACGCAACGCAAGGAGGGACGCGTCCTCCATTTGGAGGTGGCCCCATTCCGCGAGGGTCAGGTCAAGCAACGAGTACCTACCTTCCGGCTCGTTAGGGACCCCAGGAGAAGGAACATTGGCAGCAGCAGCAAGGACCAAAACGGGGGTATCACCCGGCAGTTTGCAACGGCCCGAACCAAGGAAACAGGCACACTTAGTCCGGAAAGTGGAAGGCAGCGGAAAGTGGTCTCCTCCTCCTGGCCCCAACGAAATTTCACGCCTTTCGCCGTCAAGTCGTGCAAGGGTTTGGCAATGGTGGTGAAGTCGGCGACGAACCGCCGATAATACGACAAAAACCCAATGAGCTGACACACTGCGTCTTAGTGGGATCTGTGGAGATACCCGATTGGCTTACGATGTGTCCCAAGTAGCGCACAGACTGCTGTAGAAGGTGGCACGTCTGCGGCTTAAATTTTAAATTTGCAGACCGCGTTTTCAAGAAAACAGCCCTCAAACGCTCAAGGTGTTCCTCGAACGTTCTTCTGAAGACGATGACATTGTCCTCGTAAATTAATCAGGCATCCCATTTTAGCCCAGGGAGGACCCATTCCATTAATCGCTGGAATGTTGCAGGAGCCGAGTGGAGGCCCATGGGTAACCTGTTAAATTGGAATAGGCCCAGTGGCGTTCGGAAAGCGGTCTTGGGTTTCAATTCTTCATCAAGAGGGAGTTGCCAGAACCCCGATAGCAGGTCCAATATGGAGAAGAATCGCACCCCCACTAGAGCGTCAAGTGACTCATCCATTCTTGGAAGTGGGTAAGCATCGGCTACAGAAATTGTATTAAGACGACGAAAGTCTACACAAAATCTCAAGGACCAATCATGCTTTTTCACGAGCACGATGGGGGCTCCCCATAGGCTGGTGGAAGGGGAGATTATATCTGCGGCTAATATGTCATTAACAGCCAATTTGACATGATCCTTTTCGGCAGGCCTCAGCCGAAACGGATTCTGGTGGATAGGGGCAGCGTCACCCGTGTCAATGTGGTGATGCAGCAAGTTAGTACACCCAATGTCATACTTGTGTTTGCTGAAGACATCCGAAAAATCAAGCAAAAGAGCACGTAATTTAGCTCGTTGTGGTTCGGACAGGTCACTGGTTCCGGAACAAAGCGAGTCGAGCAAACCTTCATGGCCCGAATGTGGATGCGTGGTAGGAACAGTTCCTACATGCCCTACCACTGGTTCTGCTAAGGGTGCCGGCATCACGTGAGCGAGCACGGTCCCCTGGGGAACCACGGCCATCTGTAATCCGGCATTAAGAACCATGATGAATGGGTCTCTGCCACCCTCCACCAAAGTCTGCGGAGCCACCAGATCCAACCCCTTAACCGCGGCGTTGGACAGCCCCAACAAAACACTGTGGTTAGATACACCCGCGGCGAAGGGTTTTCGTAACCGGAGAGGCACCAACATTTGTGTGCCCGGCGGCACACGCACCGTCGGAGTAACCAGCGCCTGCACCGTCGCGCAGGCTGTACGCAATCTAGTAGGGGAGGGCAGGAACGCCATGCATCGGCACGAAGGAAGCTCGATGCATCCCTTTGTCCATCCCTAACAAACACGGAACTGTGAGAGAGGACGAGACCAAAATCGGGACGGATAATTTGATGTCGCCGATGCAAATTTGTGCCCGGATTTGACAAATTATGCCGAGCGATCCCCTGTTGGCCACAAAACACGGGATAGTGACCGGTTGCAAGGGCCGACATTGAATGGGGAGACTATTATAAATAAGGTCGGATACGATTGTTGCTGACGCCCCTGTATCGACCAGTACACAAACCTCGACACCCTCGATGGAACCCGTAATGACGAACGAGCCGGCCGACGCAGCAATAACTCTATGGGCCAGCTCGGACCACTGACCAGGTCGAAGCGCCCGCTCGAACCTGACACCACCCAACGAGCTGACGCCCGAAATTCGACAACCGTTCGGCGCAACGCGGTGAGTCGTGAGTGGTGTGGGTGGGAGCCAAGCATGTGTGGTGCCGCGACTTGCCGGAGGATGCTGCGCCGACTTGAGTGCTTGGATGTTGTCCGTCTGGGGTCCCGATGCGGGCTGTCCTGGAGCCCGGCATCCTGAAGCCACGTGACCCCGGAGACCACAGTTGTAGCAGGTAACGAGGCCCGCAGCAGTCTTCGGTTGCGCCTGCCCCCACTGGTGCGACGTATGTTGAGGTGGTCGACTATCGGACCTCCATTCCGCGGGTTGAGCGGCGGCGAAGACATACTCCCGTGAGGGGACATCTGGTGTTCTGCTAGACACCGAAGTCGAAGCGCTGGCGACGAGGGGCGGCTGCCGTTGCAGGAGCAGATGAGCGTGGATGTTTCTTGTGGCGCGCAAGTTGTACATGTTCACGTCGTCTGCAGCAAGGACGACAATGCGCAGCTGCTGCGCCAGTGCTAAAAGTTTTTCCATGACCATGGCGTCGATGCCTTCACAGTGACTAAATTAAACTATGGGGAGGATGACAGAGTTAGTGAAAAGTTGTGTTTGGCAGCAGCAACATTAAGCACCCAAGAGCCTTCACTAAAGGACTTACACTTTTGTGAAAGTCGAAAATCGTGTTGTAACGCAGTTTCATATTTTCCATAATACAGGTTTTTTGGGGTTATTGGTCGCGAAAGCCTACATGTTAAGTTTCATATTTGGTAAATTTGCAAATTCCAAAGGGTAACCAGATAATAGATGATCTGATGACATTTATTTCTTAAATACACCATCAGATGGTGAACGTTGTTTACCATTTTCAGAGTAATGTGCTGGTTGTTACAGGCAAGACCAGTACAAAGTGGAATAAAGCATACCAAAGTCAATCAAAGAAGGGAGGTGTTGTGAATGAACCGTAACACAGTTTAACACGTAAGTTGTCGTGACACATCTGGCTGTCGTCAGATGAAGCTAGTTGAGATGATTGGCGAAACGTCGTACTCAGATTAGAAATGTTGTGGCTTGTGCTGTACTAGTAACTAATTGGCACGTTCTGTTTACGTGACAAAACTCTCTAATTGGCTGTTTCGGGTGGTGGCGGGTTTATCGACACATTAATATAATCACACGATCTAACCCAAAAAACCTGTATAATGGAAAGTAACACGTTGATTGTTTGAAATGTATAGCGGCTTTTTAGTGTAAAACCCCACTAGGTTGCAAACATGTGCAGATTAAATCGTTGGTCACATTCGTTATTATTAGCCATTGTCTAACAAATGCTGTGGGGAAATAACAAAAGAAAACGTGGGAAAAAACAAGTGACTAAATTAAACCATCGGGAGGTTGACAAAAGAGTTTGTGAAAAGTTGTGTTTGACACCACCAACATTCAGCAGTCGATGCAGCCACATCGTCAAGTAAATACTATCGAAATGATAAAATATTTACTTGTAGTTTTCCCCTCTTCCAATATTGTGCGATATGCTCTTCCATAATACGCTTGGTATATTTGCTGCTCAGAGGTGACAATCATCCCAATACTTGAGTATATAAATGAATAATAACTGAGTGTATGAAATATTTGCTTTGTCATTTTAACTGTGGCATATGTTCAAACTACTGACCCACGAAATATTTACGTATGATGACTTTATGAAGAAACTTGAAAAACAAACAGTCATAACATATCATGGTAGAGTCACTCACACGTAAGACTGTAAACACTCCTCCCACACATTGGGCAAGGCTTGGGGAAATGTCAGTCACTGATAAAAAAAAACTTGCTCTGAGCCCGCCCACATGACATGGATGTACCCTTATAACTACGAATGAATTTGACCGTTTGGATCAGGCTCGACAAAACTCCCCTCAAAACATCTACTCGACAGAGCTCCTTCATCTGGTATCAGCAGTGTAACAGATGCCTCGCAACTAAATTGTTCAAATTCTTCTAAATTGTTTAGTCTACTATACCAATAGGGTCTGTAAAAAGCAAAATAGATCATATCCATATGTTGAAGCTGTTTTTAAAAGACTAGCTAAAGATATTAAGGATCGTAATTATATGCTACATTTATTTTAGAGAGTCTGCAACATTAATCTTAATCACTTGCTTTTGAATATTTTATCGTGTGCCACAGTGGTGAGATGTTAACTACCTCCCCTGGAATACACGAGGTCGTGGGTTCGATCCTGATCGTGATGTCTGTATATTTGGAGTTTGCATGTTTTCCATATGGTCGCGTGGATTTTTATCCAGGTCGTCCCGTTTTTTTTTTCCACACTTAGAAGACTGCATTTAGAGCATTTGGCTGATATACATTTCCACGTCATGATACATATATTTTAAGGGGCACAAGCTAAAATCGTACGTCAATAATGTAAACACAATAACAACCAATACATTGGAGACCAAAGAGAAAGATTCTGGTATCAAGATAAGTTTTTTTTTAAGTTACGACGTTTGAAAGACGATGACCAAATCAGGTGGAATGTGCCTGATCTCAGATCTGAGAAATAAAGTAGGTTTGAGCCTGGGGAGTATTTGGAAGGGTGACAACATGCGTACAACAAATATTAGACACTCATGTGGAGCCACATTGTGGCCAAGCAAAGGGCAGTGCAGAAAAATAAATTGTCGTACTTTATTGTGCTCCCACGTCTATGATCCCTGGCTTCACCAACCTACACTGACCAGTGTGGTGAAGTATGGTCAAGCCACCTCCATGGCCTGCACGGCGTGGGGAGGACCTTATCCAGCAGTAGATTAACAAAGGGCTGCATATGTCATTGTACAGTAATTTATTTAGTTTTAAATGCATATTTGTAAAAACAGTGCACATGGTAACTTTTGTGAACTTTAGTGAGAAACTTTAGGTGGGAGACAGTATGACAGAATTTGGCTTTATCTACGTGTTGGTTGCATATTTTGATATTTTACAGCCGTGCTAATTTGTCAGCATCACCTGTCTCACGGTTAACAGATGTAGGAGTTCTACCATAGGTGAATGTTCGAATGTTTTAACATTTTTGTGCTTTACTTTTTTTAGGTGAGATAGTCTCAACAACATCGAGTCATGAATATTGCAATGAGCACGCTGTGCCTGATGCTGTTCATCGTTCACGCACAAGGTGAGTTTCTCAGCTGGACATGAATTCTGACAAAATGGGTTTTGTACTTGTTGCTTATGTATGTTGAACTTGTTTGTTGAACTTCTTCCGCACCGTACGTAGCCAACCTTGCTAATTGGAGGTGAGGGGGAAGGAAATATATATACGCTGTAGAATATATATAGCACACTACCAAAATAAATAACTTGGCTAATGCAGGAACATTTCAAGTCGAGCTTCTGAGTCGCAACTGGAAAATGTATTGTCTTTTCATAAACATGTGCGCGTTATAAATAGTTGTATTATTTATGTAGTATTGTTTTCCTACAATTATTTTTGAGTCACGATTTCAGTTGTAAACGTCAATTTGCGTGATCATTAGCCATAATCTATCCACTGCTGGATGAAAACATCTCCAAGCTGTTGCCATCTCTTATGGCCTCATGATGTAACAATCCATGTAGATCCTGTACACGAGTTTATTGTATCCATCTCTGCATTGGCAATCCCCCTGGGTGTTCTCCCTCATTAGGCTGCCATTCCATCTTTAGTCCCATTCCTTCGAGTAATGTCTCCTGTCCTAGCCCATTTACTTCCTAAAAAGTTAATGTTCTCTTATCTATGTGTTGTTGTTCCTTTTGCTTTCTCTAAGTGTAAAACTGCAAGCATGCATCTCCCCATGCTTCTTTGTACTCTTCCGCCCATGTTCCATTCTGTTTGTCAATGTCCATATTACACATTCATTTTTCATAGCAGATAATGTACACTGATTTAAAAACGTGCTTCTTTAGCACAATGGTATGTTTTCCAAAAGCACATCAACCTGCTCCTCGTCCCTTATAGATGAGGCTTCTTACAAAAAAATCACTGATTGTTAATTCAATTTTCAAAGAAGGCTTCTCTCAACCAAAATTAGTCAGAGGGGTTATTTGGCCGTAATTCACCATGCTGGTCAGCACAGGGGTTGGGGAGTGCAGAACTAGCTCCACCCTGCGTGTAATAATACATCAGGATAATGTGTGTGTCTGTGTTTTCATATTTTACAGCACAGGATTCAGACAAGCCTCCGCAAAAAGAAAGAATTGATCCGAGTAATACTCGCACAGCTTGTGTTTTGTTATTCTCGCCCCATTGCAAAGGGAGTAGGAATGGTTTGACTCAACGTAAAGCGTAGGGTTGCCGTGATATGACTTTCACGATATACGATCCACAATAATTGCACGGTCTGTTTTGTAAAGTACAGCAATGACATTTGATAAAAGTTGTTCGATGCATACACTTTTTGTTTGCACTCAAAAGTAGAACATACGTAAGTTTGACCCCAGGATTAATCAAATTTGATGTGCTGAATAAAAGTTGTTGGTTTCTTTTCGATTTGTTTAATTTGCTTTATGCAAGCCACCCACTTTTATTCAGCATATCAAATTTGATTAATTTTGTGGTAAAAGATACATATTTTCAAATTTTTAGTACAAATTAAAGGGTGTGCATTTAAAAACGTGTTTTTCACCAATTTTTGTTGTTTTAGTCCCATTGTCATTAACTTAATTGATACTTTAACGTAATTTCTGGTCACTTGCATACAGTAAGCTGATGTAATGTTGAAGTCAAGCAAAGAAATGGAAGTAGCATTCATATCACTGTTTATGCATGAGCAAATTGTATATCAGATTTACAGGGGAGAACATGCAAACGCCAAATATGCAGGCGCCAGGGTAAGGACCTCCTGTACACCAGGCAAGGGAGTTGACATCTCGCCACTGCGAGTTGACGATGGTGCGCCATGGACTTCTGGCTCCCCGCATTCACACAGTGGGCTGTCACGTAGGCCCCATTGATGTTCGGAAGCAGCACACACTCCATGATCACACCAGTAGCGGTGTATCTGTAACATACATAGAAAGCTCTTAGCTCTGGCTTGTATACCTTGCTTATGTTACAGTTCGTAATGTGATCTACATTCTATTTTTCAGGTACTATTTTCGAATTCATCAAGCTATGTGTGGGATTGTTTTCTCATAAGGGTAAGTGAAATCTTAATATTACCAATCGCATTCCTAATTTAAGGTGCACACACATATATTGGTGTATATATAAAATTAATATGAATCTATATCAATGCTTGACTGTAATGACACACTGTTAGTGACAAATGTGTTTTTGTGAGTTAATTATTTGACATGACATTCAGGAAACACGTATTAACACGAGAAAATAAATGACTACTGTTTATTAGAAAATCAACACAATATCCAATGTAATAAAGTTGTAATTTAGGAATGTTTTTTTTCAAATTACAGATTAGCATTGCGATCTGTTATATTAACATCATGACATATAAATATAGAGCATTCTACATAAATTACTAATCATGCTGTAACATATTAACTTGGTGAGTAATGGAATTTGAACAACTATAATAATGTAACAGACAGTGAAGGTCAGAATCACTGTATAGAAAGAAATGAACTAAATCACAAACGAGTGATGAACCACGCCAGTGGTAGCATACAGAGAAAACAGGAAAATCGCAGAAGTGTAAAGTGTACTTTGAGGCTCTATATTGTCAAGAAGGAAGCCAGTCAGACTTGACATAGAAGAAGAGGAAAAGGTGGGACTCAGAAGCCAAAGTTCCTATTAGTCTCAAAAGTGAAGGTCATCGCATTAATCAAAGGCATGAAGCCAGCGACGGCAGCAGGGTTTGATGGAATGCCTTCAGAAATGATCAAGCGTTTATGTGAAGAAACAATGTGTGATTTGACTAGATTTTGTGAACTTTTCGTATGAGAGAAGGAAATTACCAACATATTTTAATGAATAAAATTTCCCCAATTCTAAAGAAACCAAATGCAACTAACGTCTTAGAGTTAAAAAAAAAAATTAATGTGATACCAAATGTCAATGGTTCTGCTAAACATTATTTAATCAAGGATGATCAAAGTCAAAGCAGAGGCATACATTGCAAAGGACCAATTTGTGTTGTATTGGGAACAAGAGAAGCAATTGGAGTGATGAGAATGATCGATAAAAGGTGCTTGGAGTTTATCCAAGAAGTTTATGTTTGTTTACTTCAAGCAGAATATATTTTCAATGTACTCAGTAAAATCAGAGTAGACTGGAAAGATAGACGACTAATTGTGGGCTTGTACATGGGTCAAACAGCAACAGTGCAAGTAGTAGTACGGTACGATGCGTTTTAAATATATGAAGTCGAATTGTACACGTTTGAAATATTGTTTCGGTAATCATATGATTTATATATTTTTTATTGACAATTAGTTATTTTAGTTTTAAAATTGACGAAAATTGATGCGATGCACCTTGTTATATGGAGGTCACTTAATGTCTCTTTTAAAAAATATCTTTCAGCAAAAGAGTTTACCTGCCAAGTGGGAATGGATGATACGTTGAGTACAGTACGTTGTCTCCCTGAACAAAAATCCTGTGTCACTGCAAACGTAACTGTTGGTAAGGTGAACCTCACTATTGTGCTGCCTTCATACAAAGCAATTATTTTTTGTCTTCTCTGTATATTGAAAGGTATATCACTTGTTCTGATTTCCTTAATATATTTTATTCTTTCACGTGTCTGTGTTTTTAAACAGGGGTTTACACATTCATTTACAAGAGCTGTGCTTCGGACCTGGATTGTGTCTTTAAAGAACGCATTCGAAAAATGGTACTCAACGATGTAGTAGATGCGTTTGAGGATTCTCGTGGGTGCATCCTAAATAGCTATGACTGCAACAGCGCCCCACATGGTGGTCCACCTCGTTCCCTGGCTCTGCTTATCCCCCCCATTCTATCCCTCCTTGTATTTTCCAGCTAATTTTCTCGCAGGGCTAGGTACGCACAATAACCCTACCGTTGCTGTTAAGTGTGGGACCAATCTATAAAAAGTACAGTTGCTCTTAAAATTTTCACAAGGGATACTCATCTTATGTACCTCATAAGGATAATATAATGCGTCAACCTGCCAACTAGGATATTAACGCAAGATCTCGGAATTGCTCATCTGGATCTCCACCACACCATCTCCCGACTTTCAAATAGGAGTAATACTTTTAAATGGTATCAATTATGCACGAGGCAAAACAATCTGCTCTGTGCAATGCAATACATGGTTAAAGCAATAACGTGACAACAATGTGCAATCGGGTTAGAGTATTCAGTTCACAGCTTAAAGCTTGTAATTTCAAATAGCAGTCGGGGGAACGGCATATTCCATTATCCCTCCTGAATTAGTCAAATTCATACTACTCTGTGGGAGGTCAACAATGGTTGTCTTGTGGGTATAACTGTCCCTGACATGGCAACGCAGAATATATATGTATGCCTTAGGGCAGCAATTGGAAAACTTGGATTCAGAATCGAGCAGACTGGATGGGCTTAAACCACAACGAACCATGAGGCTGGGGACTATTGTGCAGTGCAGGGAGCTACCAATTACATATACTGTGCTGTACAGCGTTCTGAAACCTCTTTCGTGTTATGGTGCGCTTGATATTTTTTCAAATTAACAAATTAATGGATACGGTGCCCCAGCGATCTCGTGGTTAAACCGGCCATGGTTCATGCAGTGATTTTTTGTGATTTGCTTACCTTTCCTATACTTTGCACTGCTATTGTGTTTTCGTATTGTTGTAACTTTATGATCTGCCCCTACTGGACACACGTGAAAAGAGCTATATAGGTAATCGGATTCCTCCAGGTTAAATAAGGATTCTGATTGCAGCCTAAGATATTGGTTGAATTCGCTGGCAAAGAAAAAGAGTTTAAAATTTATTTTTGTTTGTAATTAACATCCATCAATGAATGTGTACGTTAATGTTACGTTATTGCAATCACAATGAGTACTTTAATCGGTGTTTATACTAATCAAATTTGCTTTTAATTGTAAACCCCCCCCCCCCCCCCCATGAACTTATGACCATGATAAGCACTGAACAATAGTGCCACACGTTCCTTTCCCCCTCTACTACAGCGCCTCTCTACTGAGGAATGCTTTTGTTTTTACTTAATAGGAATATAATTTAAAGCTCATAGTAAGAATGGATTGGTGTAGAATGGTAGTGCAATAGTTCACACACTGCATGATGAACCTAGAGACCTGGGTCTGATTCCCGTCCACGACTGCAAGGCATCTTTAGTGAGCAGTGGATTTATAAAGGAACGTTCAACAATTGAATCATGAAAAAACATGTAAACGATCTATACTTTCATCAATTTGTAATGCGCTTGAACAAATGTAGTTCATGCTGGAGTATATTAAATCTAAAATTGCTTCCACTTCCTGAGTGGAAGGATAAAGCCCTCTCCAGTTCGCCCGCTCTGCTCTTCAACGCCAGTGGTTGTTGCCACTCCCATTGTGCAGCTTCCTTGAACCAGCGATAAGCCCATTCATGAACTATGACACAGCGTTTTTTTCTATGTTAAAGTGTGTAACAAGGTGTGGTTTTTTTTATATTATCGCAGATTTGGAAAACTATGTTAAGAAATTTACGTAATTTAATCGTTGGGGAGAATAATGTTGGTTATGGACATGTGATATTGCTGGAAAATATACAATAAATGTTGCCTTTCAATATTGTGTGTAAACACTGTTCATGTAGCTTGTAAATCACCTTCAACCTTTAATTTAAAGCAAATATCGAAATACTAAAGAAACATTGGAAGCAGCCGCGGTTCGTACACTGGAGGTGTTAGGGCGCTGCCCCACCAAGAAGCTGGAGATGAAAAATTACATTTATAAAAAAACAAACGTTTTTGTTAGTAGTTTTGTTAAAACTCGATTTGGTGCTTTCGTGACTGCAGGAATTAATCTTTGTTTTTTTCGGTAAAGTCACGTAGAAATAAGAAAAAATAAAATTACATAATATACGACGTTTCGATTGCAACACAAGCAATCGTCATCAGGTAGAGGAAACACATAACCGCAGATATATATATACCTTAAGTAGAGGGAATTAACACAGATATACCAGGGGATACAGAGAGACGGAGCATCATACTAAATCAAATAGGGTTTAGCAAAATTTGGAATCTATATAAAGCAACACAGACGGTCGGTTAAAACACAATTAACGCATGGTCTGGTTGAATACGCTATTTAAAAGATTGTTAAATTGTAAGTTGAGTGTGAAATTTAAGATAGTGATAGAATACATACCGTAGAGAGATCTATGGGGGGAGACACGCACACAGTTAAGAGGTAAAGCAGCTCTGTACCGAGGCCTTAAATAGCCAGAGATGGAGGGGCTGGGACTCAGAGACAATGGGACACAAATTAGCATGATACAAGTTGTCAGGCACACAGAGAGGGCGCCGCAGCGCACACTTAGAGACACCCAGGCACACAACTATAGGCAGAGACAGCACAGCGGCGCCCTCTCTGTGTGCCTGACAACTTGTATCATGCTAATTTGTGTCCCATTGTCTCTGAGTCCCAGCCCCTCCATCTCTGGCTATTTAAGGCCTCGGTACAGAGCTGCTTTACCTCTTAACTGTGTGCGTGTCTCCCCCCATAGGTCTCTCTACGGTATGTATTCTATCAGTATCTTAAATTTCACACTCAACTTACAATTTAACAATCTTTTAAATAGCGTATTCAACCAGACCATGCGTTAATTGTGTTTTAACCGACCGTCTGTGTTGCTTTATATAGATTCCAAATTTTGCTAAACCCTGTTTGATTTAGTGTGATGCTCCGTCTCTCTGTATCCCCTGGTATATCTGTGTTAATTCCCTCTACTTAAGGTCTGTATATATATCTGCGGTTATGTGTTTCCTCTACCTGATGATTGCTTGTGTTGCAATCGAAACGTCGTATATTATGTAATTTTATTTTTTCTTATTTCTACGTGACTTTACCGAAAAAGACAAAGATTATTTTTGTTATGTTAAAAATAAATAACGATTATTTCAATGTGAATTGCCGAATGAAAATCAAATGTTAAGTTCATATTATAAGGCGTCCGAGTGAGAGATTTTCCTTCGTTCGTTGCGACGATCTTCGCATTGTAGCTACGCCGTTTGAGACCCATTCAGGGCGGTGAAAAAGGGTGCCCGTGGCTGCACTGAGACGATGTCACGACGCGAGGTTGCACCGTGCAAATGTAGCAGCTCACACGGCCTGCGCGCTCAAGGAGGAAACAGCAGCCATGGCGATGGCTGCAGTTGCAGTAAACGAAGAATTAGCAACGGACATTGGAGTCACACCTAAATATTCCATTTGGTCATGGGAACAGCATTCCAGTGCTTTGCTGTTTAATGTCGTATCGTTTATAAATGCCTACCGTAAATAAGACAGTTATATCACTTTCACTGGAAGGCCAATAACATGACGATGTTTTTGTTAATTAGAACACCATATTCTTTGGGCCTTTCGGTAAATTCTCTTTGGTTCTATTCGGTAAAGTCACGTAGGTAAAAAATAAAACAACAACAAAAATCACGTTTCGGCCACAACACAAGCGGCCTTCATCAGGTGAAGGGATCAGGCTGTCTCGAGGACAGCGCTGGAGTGAAACACAGCCACGCTCAGACCGCGACCTTTAAGCTGTGTGCGAGGAAACAAGGTACCTTGACAAAGTAATTAGCATAAAAAAATTAGCATTTGATTGGCCGACTTAGCATAGAGGTGGTGTACATGCGGGTGCACATGCCGGTTGGCGCGGGGGGGGGGGGGGGAGTTTCCCTATTGATGGTGTGAAAAGGGAATTTAAGAGCTGCGAAAGTTTGGGGTACCACTACTTGAAAAATATACTGTACCATTGAAAATTAGTTTAATGTTTGGTTCGATTTAGAACATCTTTCCAATGGTTGCTTAATTTGAAACCATCTTCTCGGTTGAAATTGTGTCTGTGTTTGTAGATCTGAATTGCCTCGTGAACAAATCTCTGATAAAAACCCGTGGGTTTGCAAAGAACCTTGGTATCGGAGAAAATTATATCGTGATCACCCACAGCGTTGTAACAATGATCAGCTACGGCAGAAGAATTCGTTTTGCCGTGTTTCAAATCTGATTTGTGCTCGCGAATTCGGTTAGAGACATGTCGCTTTGTCTCCCCGATATAGCAATCACCGTAGGTACAACTCAATTTGTAAACCCCGGGGTACTGTAATCAGGAATGACATCATTCACGGATGGGATCAGATCACAAATTTTGGGTACTGTATTGAACCGGACCTGGATCTTGTGTTTGTTTAGAATTTTGGAAATCTTTTTAGTAACGCCTGCTATATATGGTAGTGTGATGGTTTTGACTGGAGTATCAAGTGGTTGTTTCTGTATGGAGGGAGAAACAGCTTGGCGGATGGTACGGTCAGAGTATCCATTCCTTTTGAGGGCCAGGTGTACATGTTTTAATTCACTGGTCAGGTGGTGTTGGTCCAAAATGCAATGAGCCCTATGGTATAAAGTTTTGATGAGATCATTCTTTTGGGCTGGGTGGTGGTGGGAATCAGGTTTCAAGTAGGAATCTGTGTGGGTGGGTTTCCTGTAGACAGAATGCTCCAATGAGCCATCAGGTCTCCTCTCAAACAGAACATCTAAGAATGGTAGCTTGCCATTTTTCTCCACTTCCATGGTGAATTTGATGGCGGGATGTCTGGAATTGATGTGGTGTAGGAAAAGGTTCAGAGCTGGGAGGCCATGTGGCCAAATGACGAAAGTGTCATCCACATATCTCTTCCACAGGGAAGGTCTGAGGGTGGAAGTGTGGATGGCGTCTGATTCAAATTTCTCCATGAAAATATTGGCTATCACTGGTGACAAGGGGGATCCCATGGGGTACCCTCATTTTGTTTGTATAAGAAGCCATTCCAAGTAAAGTAGGTATTGTTGAGCCAGTGCCTAACCAGTGCAGGTGTATCGGGGTCTAGTCCATGTTGGACCAAATTTTCAATTATTTCAATGGTATCAGGTACTGGGACCTTGGTGAACAAAGAGACCACATCGAAGCTGACAAGGATATCGTCAGGGGACAGTACAACGTCTTTGACCATAGAGACCAATTGGGCTGAGTTAAGTACTGCTGAGGCGGTCTTGCCAGTGAAAGGCAGCAAGGTATCTGACAGAAAACGGGCTAGTCTATAGGTAGGGGAGTTGACCTATGTCAAGGCTCTCCACACCTCTCACCGAGCTTAAAAGACGCTACGAATCTTAACAGCGTTCATTCAAGCTCTGTCATCCCGACAGTTCTGTTTTTTCACCTGAAGAAGGCTACTTGTGTTGTGGCTGAAACGTCGTGAGAATTGTATTGTCTTATTTTATTATTTTATTCTCATTCTACGTGTCTTTACCGAAAGAACCAAAGAAGATGAATCCTTGCAGTCACGAAAGCTTTAAATCGAAATTTAAGGTTAAAATTGTCAACTATTTTTTTGGGATCTGAAAAATATTCCCCATTTCGGTTAAGCTCAGCGGGCAGATTGTTTGTTTTGGATGCCTTTTCGATACATTTGATTGTTTTCCAGAAAATCCTGGCATTTCCATATGATTCCAGGAGAGTGGAGGAAAAGTAAGCATTTTTTGCATGCCGTATTTTTTGACGCATTTATTCCTTAAAATCCTGTATTCTAGCCAGTCATTGACCAAATTACTTTTCTGAGCACATGCCCAAGCCTTGTCCCTAGTTTTTATGAGCTTTGTAATCAAAGGATCAAACCATGGTGGGCGGTTGCCTTTAGTTTTAAATCTAATCAACGGAGCATGTTTGTTAAGAATTTGGCGAAACTTGTACCTAAAGGTTTCCCAAGCCGTAGTCAGGTTGGGGATATCACAGACCTTGTCAATATCCGAGTGAAGCACATCATTAGTAAATGCCTGAGTGCTGAAGTGTCTCTAAGAGTGCTTCTCAACCAATTTAGGGGGGGGGGGGCTCTGGGTCTGGCTGATGATCTCACCCCAAAAATGAAGGAGTGGTCACTGAGGTTATTACCCACAACACCAGTCAGTGCGAAATTTTGAGGGGCATTTGTCAACAGGACGTCAAGCAGAGATGACTGTCCAGGATTTTTTAGGTTGGGTCTTATGGGGACATTTATTAATTGAAACAGGTTAAATTTATCTGCAAAATGTGTGGCCACGGCTGGCAGGTTTAGCCAATTCCAATTTAGATCACCCACTAAAACTATTTCATCTTTAGGGAGGCCCCCAAAAAGCTCTCTCAGTGCAGATGCAGCTGCAACATCCTTCCCACTAGGCGGTCTATAGCAGCACACTACCAATATCTGTTGATTATTTGGGAGAGTTATACTGAGAGCCAGACCTTCAAAGCAACATTTTTTTAAACAAGGAGTGAGCTGGTGAACATGCAATAGTATTACGAACATAGATGGCAATTCCACCTCCTTTAGATCCTCGGTCAAGCCAAAAAAGGTTGTAGTTGTCAAACGTAATCTGCAAGTCATTGACAGCAGGAGTGAGAAATGTTTCTGTTAGGCAAAAAATGTCTGGGTCAAGATTTGCCACTTCTAGTTATAGTTGACTTAATTTAATCACAAGCCCTCTGATGTTGACATGTAGAACACCAACACCTTTTCTGCCAGAAAAATCTACAGAATTATACGAGTTCTTTACATTTGGGCCAGGATGAAGCTCAATACCACCCAGAAATAAGAAAAATAGAATTAATAGTTTGCACAAGTATTTTCTGTGAAAGAATGAAGAGCGGCGAACCTTGGACAAATAGCAGCAGCTCGCAGATGGTGTTATTTTTAA